TTCCCCCAGATCAAGAACTCCCTGTGGGATTGACTGAGTTCTTTATTTCAACTATATTGTAGCTTAAGTCCTTCCTTTGCCCAATCCTATCCTGCTTCCTTTACTTCTCCACAAGTCAGTTTCCTGAAAGCCCTCTGCAATAAACTTCCTACATGCAAATCTCTGCATTGGAGCCTGTTTCCAAGGGAACCTGTTCTGTGACAGATCTTACACATTAATAAAGGAAGGATAAACAATGACCACAGCAAGAGGGAATGAGGAGTGCTACCTCACCTAACATCAAGCCAGTCCAATCTGGCTGTGGCTGCCAGTGCCTGGCAGTGAACACAGCCATTAGCCTGGCCATCACATACTAGAAAAGTGGAGTTTGGCCACCTGTGTCCTCTCCATCAGTGCTGACCCCTAAAACTTTCTACAATGATGGATATGTTCTATAATTGCACTGTATAGTACAACAGCCATTAGCCACTTGTGGCTACTGAGAGCTTGACATGTGGTTAATGTGACTAAGGAATAGATTACTTAAAAAATAATTTATATTTAAATATAAATAACCACATGTGTTTAGTGGCTATCATATTGGACAGAGCAACTCCAGACTATGAATTCTGCAGGTCCAGAAAGGCAGTGTCACAATAGTTCCAATTCCATCTGCCTTTACTTCTATCAGAACCCAGAAGTACTTGGTCAGACTCCTTAAAAGTCATCTTAATGAGGCATATATAGGAACTGTGTATGAATATAGTCTTCTTATTAGGTAGCCCCCAAATTATTATAAACACCATTAAATCTAAGTGCCAGAGAGCTTTGCTATAAGTTTAAGTTAGTTTCAACATATGAATCTATTCATGATCGCTCACCCTCTTAGTCTTTCATTCTCCTGGCCCTTCAAGGAGCTTGTCATCTAAATGGAGAGACAGGACATCTATTGGTGCATGATTTTAAATTAAGCAAAACCCCACTTTGACTGTATATGTGCATAAACTTGATTAATAACTTTTTTTTCTATTTGGTCTGTATGATCTAGGGGCTTTAGCTTTGTGTTTCACATTTAAGAAAGGAAAAAAAAAGAGTAAGAAATAGAACCATTTTGACATGGGCAGGCTCACAGTTTGGGGACACATGGAAGACCTTTAGCTCTGTCCTATTCCTTGGACAAGGATAATCTCTTATTGCTGACTCAGAAATGTCATATGGAGCCCAAGGTGAGAGCACATGGCTGCACCTGGGCAAGTTTTTCATGATCATCCTGCAAAAAAATGACTGAATGTGCATGCCCTCTGGACAAGGAGCCATTCGCATCATCTTGCCCTCTAAGGATCGGCCCTTACAAAATCAGGCTGAGCCTTTGAATGCAACTGAAATTGAATTCAATGCAATTTGAAACTATTCTGTTTACTTAAAGCCCAGAAGCCTGGCATGAGAAGAAGAATTCAGGGACAGGCAACGGTAGTTAAATTTGTACATTTTTCTTGCTTGTTGCAATTTTATCTTTTCTGAGCAATTTAATGAAGACTCCAGAGGAAAGAATTAAATGTCTGATGGTTCAATTACCAAATAATGAAAAGGTCGAAAGGAGCACCATGCACTGTATGCTGAGCTGCTATAAAAGCTTATTCTTAGAGTGAATATCTTTTGTGTGCTGTTCACACCCGCATTTTGCCACCCACAAATTGTACAGACGAGTGTCAGTGTAAGAAGCAGAAATCAAGAGCTGGTACAGATCGTCCTGCGCAAGGGTGGGAAGGGCCTTAGCCCACGGGATCATCTCATGACACCCACAGCAGCAGTAAGGGGCAGGATAGAGGCCACAGTTTTCATCGAAGGGGACCAGGCTGTCATTAAATTTAAACTGTGAGAAGATTCTAATCATCTTGGGTTCCAAATGCATTTTTAACTAACCTGTCCTTAGGGCTACATCCAGGGAAGGCCTCCAGGGCAAAAGGGACTTGCAATAATTTCAAGGTCGCCTCACAGTCCCCACAGCATTTGGAAAGCTACCCCTGCCCCCAACCCACCCCATCTGTACATAGAAAAGAAGGATTAAACAATCCAAATGTCTTCTACAGAAGCTAAAACCAAAGGTAAAATAACACTACGGTGCTTTAGAATTCATTAGAATATAGGTTTAAAGGCTTTAAAAATGAAGTCCCTCTGGAAATACTATACAAGAGGCAGATAAGTATAGACTCTCCTCACCTCTGGACCCGTGGTGACAGTCACTCTGCTCATGCTGGGGCCTCTCTACCACCTTTTAATCGATAACATCTATACTCGTCATTGTATAGTTTCTTTTTCACCTTAAAATAGATTCTTCTCTGGTTATATAAGAGAATAGCGTCAATCTTAGGAAATACACACTGAAATGTTTAAGAATAAGCAGTTGTGATGTATATAACTGACTCAGAAAAGAATTTGTCTATCTCTACCTACAAATATGGAAATATACATACACATGTGTGTGTATATATTTGTGTTTGTGTGTGCATGTGTGTGGCGAGAGAGAAGCAAGAGTAAATGATAAAGCAAATGGGGTGAAATATAAACAACAGATGAATCTGAGTAAAGAGAATTTGGGTAACCCTTGAACTATTTTTATTTTTAAGGTTTTAAAAGTAACTATTAAGGTGTCTCAAACCACCTTAGAATATGTGAGAAAACAAACTATATGTGAAACAGAAAAAAATCCCTAAATTATTTATGCTACTCTTTTTTGCAGGGTGGGGATGGATGTATCTGATAAAAGAGACAACAGATCAATTTTTAATAAAATAGAAGCTGTTTAAATAAAAGGACTTTTTTCATTACTGTTTCTCCTTTATTCCCCAACAAACAGAATCATGGATACAATTTAATAGATATGATTAAACGACTGAGCAGCACCTAAGACAAAGTCCTACACTCCTAATCCTTAAGAATGCATTTTAAGATCTATTAAAATCTAAACAGAGGCATTTTTATCTGTGGGGTTCTCTATAAGTTTATATTCTCCTCTCCTCTTATTTAGAATTCCATAAATAACGTTTACTATGACCGTAAAGAAAAAGCTAAGGTACAAACTGGGAGAAGATATTTTCCACACAAGTAATGGAATATAATTAATATCAAAATATAGAAACCATTTTTGCAAAGGAATTCAAATTAGAAAAACAATTCGAAATAAAAATTGTGGAAAACTTCAACAGGTATTCCGCAGAAGAGAAAGCACAAATGGCCAAAACACTTTGCAAAGATGCTCAAAGTTATTAGCAAGAAGAAATACAAATCAAAACCAAAAATATCATGTCATAAAGAGAAGACTGGCAAAAATTCCAAAGCCTGACAATATCAAGCGCTGACAAAGTTGTAGAACAATGAAACTCTCATTTACTTCTGAAAGGAGGAAAAATTGGTATAACCACTTTGGAAAACAATTTGGCATTATAGAACAGAGTTGAAGGTATGCATGCCTTATAAGCCAACAATTCTACTGTTGGGTATATACTGAGAAATTCTAGCAAAGATACAGTGGGGACTGTGTACAAGCATATTCATAACAACACGTTTATAATGGAAGCCACCAAAGTCTGCCAACAGTGCACTGGACTAAGAGCTTGAGGCATTTCATACAAAATAATACTACCTGGCACTGAAGCTGAATAAAGAACAGCTATATGCATCAATAAAATCACTCTTAGGAACATAATGTTGGGTCAAAAGAAAAAACAAATTGAAAAAGAACACACATACTGAGATTCCATTTTCGGAAAGTTCATAAAGATTTGTTTTTAGAGATAGAAACATGGGATAAAACTATAAAGAACAACAAGAGAATAATAAGCAAAAGTTCAAGATAGTGGTTACGTCTGCTTTGGGCAGAAAGGAGAAATGATCAGGAAAAGACACATGGACCTTTAATGGAAAAGCTAATAGTCTATTTCTTAAAAGAGGTAGTGGGCACATATTCATCATATTGTTATTCTTTACACTGTGTGCATCTAACAAATATTCTTTTGTATGCATCCAATATTTAATAAGAATGACTTTTAAAAATTGTTGAAGAAGCAAATGACCAAAAAATTTCTATCCAAGACTTGTTGGAAGAAGAAAAAGATTGCAACAACATGCCAGCCCTGAGGCCATGGCAGTCTTTCCTTCCAAGCATGCATACTGGGATGACTGCTTCAGTCCTTCTCTGCTCATTCAATCCAAAACCAACCATCACTCAGAGCTACCAATGGTCCAGGATTAGAAAAATGTTTCATAATGTTCATCAAAAGGAGCAGCCAAGCTTTCTTCTATCATGTGTCCCTGATTAAAATACAGGCATCCTCCCAGTGTGAATGAAAAGCACCATGATCCTGTTCACGTCTGTACACACACACACACACCCAATCTCTGCAGCTTGACTGTGTTATTATTATATCCAAATATTACCAAAAGCTATTATTACCTGAATCTTGACTTTAATATTTCTACACATTTCATAATGATAATAGAACACTATATTTAAAGCAAAGCCTCTCTCTATCTTCCAACCAGAACCTGAAATCTGGAAAAGCTTCTTGAAAGAAAGACACCTGTCTGTGCTCAACGATGTAGCAACAGTCCCTTAAACCAAATGTAAAATTTAAAACGAGTGGTGCAGCTATTGTCAGTATAGCACTTAAGAAAAAACTTAACCTAGCTCCAGGAGGTCTGACTCTTCACCTTGGCAGGTCATTAAAAGTAAGAAAACAGTCATCTCCAAGGGCCAACCTGTAACCCAGTGGATCGGAGGAAGAAAGTTGTGTTATAATTTCAGTATCATAAAGATTTTTAAATAATTGTTTTCATATCAACTACTACAGTGAAGCTGGGCTCCTTCATCAGTAACATCACAACCCTATTAGAAAAAAAAAAATCAAACTGGTAAAAAAAATTTTTTTTTTCTAAATTACTTACCTCGAATAGTCCATCACTAAGTCTCCTGAAGCTTACTGAAGACGTAGTTCGTAGCTGCTGTAAAAATAACCACTTACCTCAGCATATTGTGCTACTGAGCTGGCTTCAACTGCATAAACTCTTTTAGCTCCAGCCTGTACAGCAAAAAATGACAGTATTCCTGATCCACAACCAACATCTAGAATGACCTAGTGGGAAAGGAGAAGACAAAAAATGGATGAAAATACAAACAGGCGCTTGGCTGTTGGCACCGTGCCAACCTTGAGCATTGAGATCAGATTTAAGTGCTAGCTTTGATATTTATAAGTGATCGTACCTTGGCCGAGTTATGAATCTCTGTGAGACTCCTTTTTCTCTTATGTTAAAAAGGTTATTAGTATCCACTTTTTAGTTTTGCTGTAGGCATTAAGTAATATGAAGTGTATATAAAGTACTTGGCACATAACTGGTGTTTTTTCAAAAATAAATATTTATTATTTATTATGTTATATATTTATTATAGTTTCTTTGTAACGTAGATAGCTTTTAGGATGTTTAGGGCCAAGAAAAGTTGAGTATCGTGAACAAGCTTGCTTACCAAATCTGTCAGCATGAATGAAATGAAAACTGTCTCAAATAATTTTTAGAATTGTAGGTATTATTATATATAATTATAATATATAATACATATTATAATAACATATGATATATACATATTACTCTATATAAAAATATATACATAATGTTGAGAAATAACTGAAGATAAAGTCTTTAAAAATCCAAAAGTGAATTATATACCTTTTTACCAGGCCCTCTCCACAAAGTTCGGGAAGCTTACATGGAGGGTAGGAGGGTGTTAAGGCAGTAGACAGATGGAATTTACAGAAACTTTTATTCTATTCTCTGTGTCAGACTTGAGACTTAAGAAAACCACCATTCATTGGCACAAAAGGTCCAACACTTGGACCTACATGCTGATAGGCAAGAGGTACACAGTACATACTGGGCTGCTCTCTACAAACGCTGAAGCCGAGAACTTGTTTAATCATTGAAATTTCAGGTTATTGTATTTCTGTCTCATTAGTGACTTTTATTCTTAGCATCTTTTAGAACTAGCTTTGAGAAAATCATTTTGCTTGGCTCTAAATCTTTACAGTAAATATATGAATACATATATTTATAGATGACAAAACTAAAAATCAGAGACATGGAACAACCAGCTCAGGTTCACCTGGTATAAGTGCAAGAGCTAAGTGTTGAATCTGGACATTTCTGCCTTCCAAGCTCATGCTTCATAAAATCATACATTGCTTACCTAAATTCATCTTTATGAATATGACATTTTAACATAGCAATACCAATAGGCCATATTTGATGAAAATATTTTTTGTAGGAAAACTTAGCCAAGCTTTTTTTTTACATTGATAGCAGGAAAAATTTTCCAAAAAACAGGAAATATCAAGAGGTTTTGTGTGTGTGTGTGTGTGGTATGTGTGTGTGGGGAACTGCAACATCACACTGTGCTGACACAGACACTGTGCCATTATTCTAAGAGAACATGCTGTTATTAATGGGTTCACAGTGCTCACTTATATTAATTCTAGATCTGTGGCTGTATTCCATATGGTTTCCTAGGGTTTGGGTAATTAGGAGCATTACCAACTTAAAATGTCACCCTGTCTCCAGAATTTGCTGTCAGGCTGTCTATACTTTTAGAAATAACTAATATTCACTTTTCTTCCTCCCTAGGAAATACATCATTTTCACATGACCCTGGTCCATTGACTGTTATTTAGGGAGTTGGAGGCCATTAAATTAGAGAGTGAAATCCATGACATACCCCTGCCCCACACAAAAAAATGCACTGCATCCAGAAAACCTTTTCAGGCTTTCTTCAATAAAAAATATAACACCTTAGAATCCATATTCAGTACTAAACGGATAGAAAATTAAGAGACAATAGAAAACGAATCTGCTTGCTCTGGTGACAGATGCCCTAGATGTCGGTGAATGGATCTCTTTGTCTTTTATCAGGGTGTCATGAAGCACATCCTCGAGCAGTGTTTTTCAGTTCTCTTGATCCTACAGACTGAAAACTAAAAAAATGTTTACCACTAGGAGAGAGAAAGAGAAATGGGATGGGGAGAAAGAGAAAAGGGACAGAGATGGAGAGAGACTGATGTGATTCAACTTTTGCCAAATTAGTCCCTTTGGTAAGAAGATGCTTTGATAGACCCAGACCGTATCCAGAGAAGAGATGAAAAATTACAAACTGAGGCAATTTTCCAAATACCATATGTTGAAACTTAATTTCAAGCCAAAATAATCGTATTCATTTATCTATTTCAAAGCAAATCATAGGCCTTGAAAAAGAATCTGATATTTGTTAATATTATTCAGATAATGCCATCTACTTCCCACTTGTGTGCACATTTAAAAAGTTGACAAGTGAATTTTCAGCCTGGAGCCAGTGGAAGAGGGTAAAGAAGGAGAGGGACATTTCGCCTTCTCTACATAAGTCATGCAATGATGGAAGAGCTTAGAATAAATTCTCTGGTGAAAAACCAATGGTCAAAGCAAATATTTAGGCTTTAAAGGAAATATACTTCCTCAGTCCTTTCCAGCTGAAGTTTCCAAGACTGGGAGAAGAAGGGACATTAGCCTAGATAATTAATTGTGTTACACCTTCTCACATGGCACCTCAGGAAGCCCTGGAGCTACCTCTGATCGTATGTTCTTGTCCTCACAGAACATCATATTGAGCCCATTTTTTTATTCTACCATTGGTAGACCATCACGGGACTAGTTAAGTCTGAGGACCTTGGCAGACATGAAGTTTTACTTTCTTGTCCTAGGGAAAAATAACTGCCCTCAGGCAGAGGCAAAAAGAGAGTAACAAAATCCCCTTGTATCTCTGTAAAGCTGTTTCCAGTTTACAGAAGACTTCCCCGCTGACACTATCTATTTGATATTCATGCCTCTCTGGGATGGAGAGTACATAGTTTGTTGCCATTTTATTGATAAGAAAACTGAGGCTTGGAGAGACTGTTTCCAGCCCAAGGTAACATGGCTAGTAAGTGGCAGAGCTGGAATGTGAATCCAGTGCTCAGCAACCTGCACCATCATGGCTTATGTTTTTTGTTTTTTTTTTTTTTAGCAAAAAAATGAGAGGAAAGGGTGGACTGTGAAGAGATGTAAATCTGATCATATCACACCCTGAATAAACATTTCCAATGGTTCTATGCAGTTAGAGGAGGTCTGGTCTCTTTGGTGTGTTATCCCTGGGCCTGAGTAATCCAGCAATGACTGACTTTTCCAGCCTCTTTTTCTGTAATTCTCTTCTTCCTTCTTCCCCACATGCCCTAGGCTCAACTGCGTCCCTTTGCCTGATTCTAGACTCCCTCATATACAATCCCCTGTGGTAGAAGCAGCTGATAGCTCACCAAAGGTTAATGCTCTCTCAGAGGAGAGTTGTTGAGAAGCAGCTGCTCAACTAGGGCTGGCATCTGCATAAGTCACCACTTCCTTGCATTTACATATGGCCGTGTGATTAGTTCTGGCCAATGGAATGTGAGGGGAACTGATATCACTCCTGGGTCAAGATGGTTAAGGGTCTAGGGTACCTTCTCCACACTTTCTGCTCCTTATGCAGTGGTATTTGAAACCAACTGTTAGACTTGAAAAGAGCCTGAATCCCTAGGTCACTGCTTTGTGAAGAGCTACTCAGACCACAATAGAAAGGTCATGAGCAAGAAATAAATTTTATTATGTTAAAACATTGAGTTTTAGGAATTAATTGTTTTAGTGGTTGGCACAAACTGACCAATACATTTGCCTTGGGTGAAGCTCCTCATCTCATTTTTCTACCTGGGAAACTCAAGACCGAGTTCAGGTATCACCTCTCAAGGGCACTTTCTCTGGCTTCCCCAGTGAGCCAGTCTAGGTTGGGCTCTCTGGCACCTGGTACGTAGCTCTCGAATAGCACTTACTACAGGATACTGCGAGTATTTTTTACATGTTTATCTTCCCTGCTTAGCCTATGAGTTCCCCAAAGACAGGAATCAAATCATTTATCTCTCAGCACCTAGCACAGTGGAAAACAGAAAAACCAGTAATAAATATTTTTTAACTAAATGACTGAATGGGATGACTCAATGTGGCAGTCTGCTAATTCCAACGTCACCTTGAAACATCTCTGGAAAAGGATTATGACTTTTGTCAGCCATTTAGAGTCTGGGAGTGTTCTTGCATTGCAAAGCTCACATCTAAAGGGGATGTACTCAGGATGCCCTTGCCTCATTCAACACTTATATCCTGACCTGCCTTCTGTTTCCTGGCCTATTTCTTGGTCTTATTTCTTATTTCTTGGTCTCCAAATCACCTCACAGATCTGACACTTTATACTCTGTCTCTCTTCATGATCTCTGCCTTTCCTCCTTGACTATAATCTGAACATATCCTTTGGGTCATCTGCTGACTAGCTGAGGCAACCTTCAACCCGGACACAGGCCTTCTTAGAATGTTCTGTGCTCTCTTTTGCCACAGAGCCTTAGTACATGCTGCTCCTTTTGCCTGGGGTGCTCCCCTCTGCACTCGATGATATCAGACCATGGTAATGCTTTACCTACTTAATGCCTGTTGTGCTAGATCTTTTCTATTTGCACCTCCAGATTTATTCTGCACTCTTCCCCATCCTGTTCTCTGCCAGGAGTCTAATCTATATGGACTGCACCAATGAGCTCCTTGCCATTGGGCTCTAGTTGGGATCAGTCAAGACAAAAGACAGCAGAAGATCAAAGCGGGTGAGGACAGTGAGGTCAGATGATTTTTTCTCCTGGCTTCCTCCTTCCTAAGTCTACACAGATTGGTTGTGTCCCCCCAAAAGTCACAGTGCTTGTTGGACTTCCGCCTCTTATAGCTATGACCATTCTCTCAGGTATCCAGTAACCACCCCTACCCCTTGCCCCGTTAGTAGTGGTGGTAACAGGTCCCCACTCTTGCTAGAGCCAGGATTCTTGCTAGAACCATGCCATGTTTGTTTCCTTAACTCTGCCCACATATTTGTAACTAGTCCTATTATTTAACTCTCCTAAAACACCATCAGACATGCTATCTCTCTCCTGCAGTAACCCTGGCTGATATACCAAATCCCAAAAAGCTTTCCATCAAGAAAGACTTTCCTAATCTTTGCTCCCCTCCCAGGCTAAGT